AACTCATTACGGTGGTCCATTTGCGTTTTCAACTCGGTTGTTAACACTAAATCACTCGTTAACTCTCCCTCCGACGCAGCATTACAGTTTCCTTAGAAAATTACCCCCTTAATAATTTAGGTCTTTTGCCTAAAGGAAAGCTCACGGTCGGCAGCCCAACGGCCACGGCCATCAGCTTTACAGCCAGCGGTTCAAGGGTACAGCGGCAAACGGACCGCTGTATAATTCACGGCGCGGGGGCTTGCGTCCTGTTTCATCACCGCGTATTTCGGTCAGCAGTCTACACATGCCTATGCCAAACCTATGAGCTTGGTCTATCTAGAAGGATGGTGATTCTTCGTTTACCTTTCAGATCGTTTGGATCATTTGCAATCTTTGCAATGCTTTCTTTCAATTTATTAAGTCTTTTAACGTCTTTTTTCACAGAACTCGACGACAAAGCGAACGTTTATTCCCAAAGGCCTCAGACTTCTGGCTGATAAGTCTCGTGGCATGGCGATATAAGGATCATAGTAAACAACAACGCCCACAAGAAAGGTAGCAGTTAAATGGGCTGCTGGGCTCTGGGCCGAGAAACATACCTCGTGCAATTTGACTGGTGCGAGCAACACACACGAATTTTGTAAAAATGATTGGTTTAATAAATGATAAACAAACTAACTTTTACGACTAATTCATTATTTTTACTTTTTTCATAATGAAAAGAAACAAAAATGGATCATATATATGCCCTAGTCAATCACGTGATATGCAAATTAGAGGCTTCAGATCGTACCATGGAGCTTTCCAATTTTGTACATAGCAGTCTTTGTAGTGTTGTTTTGGGTGGATCATTGAATCAAAGAACTTTCCTTTCACTTGCAACCTTTATTTGGTGGGTTGATTAATGACTATAACTTTTCCCCGTGGAAGGAAAAAATCAGGAGAAGAAAAATACAGGAGAAACATCTTTATAGTTTATAACATTTGCAGCTGCGTGGCGTCTGCGAAAATAATGAAGAACGCAGAAGGGTTAAACATCTACGAGTCCTTGCATAAGACTTTGGAACGCACGCCTGTTGTAACAATGTTAGCACTCAATTAAAGTATCTTTCAGTTAAAGTATCCAGGCCTAAATTACTTAATGCAATGGCTGCAGTCATCAAAGCCTAGAACTGATTATCAAGCAGTGATTGGAGATTGTCACAAGAGAATTCACTCAACTTAGGGTCTTACTATCGTACTTGCTTTTACGTAGGTGAGCAACAAAAATGAGTTTGTGTAGAATAAATAAAAACTAATCTCGGCCGCCTCCCTCCTCCACAGAACAATTCCGCTATTCTTTACCGCGAGCCCAAAACTTGATGGAAACTTTCAACTTTAATGATTGAGTAATTTTACTCTCTCGTCCTGAAATTTTATTTGGAAAAGTCAATTCAAATCCACGAGCTTTTGGAGTCTTACTAACATTTTCTATTTATACCTTTTCAAGAAATTAACCTATCGGCTCGTATTAACCTTCTTAAAAATGGAGTTATCCAGTTTTACCAGCAAATAAGGAGAAAAACTAAAGAGAGATAGTTTCGTCTTATCAAGAGCTTGGGAAAAAGAAGAAATTAC